TATTTATTTTATGCCCACAATTTTATTTTTTGAATCGTCTATTTTTGTTATTGTTTATGTTAAAAAATATTTAATTTTGTGCTGATAACCTTAGTGGTCTGTTGACTGACCTTTTATTTGTTCAAATAATTGTTATGGGCAGGTTACAATATAAAAATGTTTGTCATAATCATGCCTTGTGATTATTTGACAGGAGTTTTACTTTTAAACTGTAAGTGTATTTAATTTAATTATGTTAGTTATGATAGTTTAGTTATAATGTAAATAAAATAAAAATTAAACCAAGATTTAGAATAATTATCATGTTGATCCGTACATTGGTAAATGTCTGACTGGGCCTCATGTCACTTTATGTTCAACAAATWGGGCCCCGAGGTCAAAAAGGTTAAGAACCCCTGAGTTAGATGATTACAAAGGGTATAAGAGCTCAACAAGACTGTCTATATGAGAAGTTTATTTGGACCTATTTACCTCTTGGGAGTTTTAGTAACAGGTGTGTCTCTTACCTTACTAGATAACTCTTGAGTCCACCACCATATGTGATCACAAGTAGTTCTGCGGACCACTGAGCACTCGCTGTATACTCCAGGAAGATCAGGCCTGCGACTGCATTACTGAAATCACCGGGAAAACTCATCACCTGGATCAGTAAAGAAGCAGGGAAAGGGAGCGTTAAAGTGGCWTAAAGACAGCAGAAACGTGTGTTATAAGCTCATACCCCCCAACAAGTTTTATTTTCAAGGGTAACCTACACAAACGCAAGAAATTTATGTGACAGGCGAAAGATGAAGCTGGAACAGACGAGACAAAGTCAAAGAGTGACAGAAAGCAAGAGATGGGGAAAAAAGAGACGAGACAAGCAAATCTGATTTTCTTTTTTCACACTTTTCTGTCAAATTGACTTTCTAGATCATCCCCTCCAGAAATAGCAAGCAAGTCAGTGGTGTGTGCACTTAACAGTGACAAACAAAAGGAAGTACAGCAGAGCTGAGGGGAGCTGATGTAAGTGTGCGAGCACACTCACTGTAGGAGCACAACAAAGGAGCACTGCACTAAAGGATCCCACTTTCAATGGTAAGTGTGGCTGGGGAGATGGACGAGCGTCTGCGCTCGCTGTCTGACAGAGCGAATAAAGAAACGGAGGGAAAGATGGACGGAGATGTGGGAATAATAATATATGGCATAATGGGGCGGGAATGGACTTGATGGGAGCACAGGGAGACACAGACATGTAAGGACAAGGGKGAAAAAATGTGAGAGCAGAGACATAAAAGGGAGAGCAGCGCCGATGTGAAAAATTAAAGATGGGAGGTGATGGAGATGTGGGTAAAAAGGCATGGGACAGTGTGAGCACAGAATGGAGACAAAGCAGCAGCAAGAGATAGTGAATTAGAAAAAGGAAAAAAAATACATGACAGAAAAAGAGAGCAGGGTGTCAGACGAGGAGACGTTTTCTTCAGAAGGTGACAGGCGGCTCAAAGTGCTCGCTGAAAATGTTCCACAGTGAAAGAGTGGAGCTTCACCCGAATCCACTCAGAGGGAAAAATGATGGATTCTCAAAGTGCTTCRCTGAGTAGTTAGTTATAGTCTAACTTACACTAGGTTACATTTCTCTTATTGGAATTAGGCTAYGTTCACACTGCAGGTCTTAATGCTCAATTCCGATTTTTTGCAAAAAAAAAGTATTGTTCTTTTTTGTGTTAACGTTCACATTATATTTTAAATGCAACCTCCAGTGTGAACTCTCCACAGCCTTAAAGCGATCATGAACAGAAAAAGACGTGACATCACATTCAGCTTTAGTGTTTACAGAAGTATGCTACACGTTAGCATGTTGACTCTGAAGTTGTGYGACCACAGTCAATTAAATAATTATCTTACATGCTTGTTTAGTTTACCGTTTACATTTGAATCACCCTCCTTTCGGCTACAGCTGTGCAGCTGCATTTTAGTTTTGGAATGGGAGCAACGTACCGGAAGTAAAGTAACAAACTTTAGCATCAACACGGTCTAAGACCGACATTACTATCATTTATTTCTGTGGATTCTCAGTCATCCAGGACATGGAAAATAAAATTAAAAAAAGAATGAAGCAATTGGACTCCTAATTTGAAGGTGAAGASGTGGAGTTGCAAGATTTAAACAGCACGACTCGAGGTTAGTGTCTTTATCGATCCTTCACTCCCACCTCACAGAAGTAAGACGGATGAAACGTGACCACGAGCGTTCAGCCTGAGGTCGCTTTGCAAAACATCCCATATGTATCCGAGTACCACAAACTGAAAAAACCTGAGTCAGATTTGAAA